GACTTACTGTACCTAATTTACATACTGTACACACGATAGTAAACTCAACTTACTCGCCTAAACTCTCCGTAGCGTGGCGCTGGACGGCAGAAAGCATATATATAATTATAATAAAGTTACAATAAATTAAGTTAATATATAATTATATATACAGTACCTAATTTATATATAATTAATATATAATTATATGTAAGTACCTAATTTATATATAATACTAAACAGACGATAGCAAACTCAATTTAGCCGCTCCATAGCGTGGCGCAGGGTCGGAGGTAAGTAGTTCGGCTGCTCATCCACTATTGGTCCAGACTCTATCAATCTTCTCGCGAAACGACGTTATAGGAGGTACGTTATACGAAAGTTGCTACAATTTTTTCGCTACGTTATAGGAATTGTCGTTATAGGAACGTACGTTATAGGGGGGTCGACTGTACTTGTACAATTTCAAAACCATTTTGTGTAATAATTAGACTCTGACTTAATGGTATTATTGATATTATTGATGACAAAAGTTTAAAATCATTGATTTCCTCATCTGTCCATTATTTTTGTTTAACAGAGTTGAATTGTTTGGACCACGTGGCATTAAAAATTTTGTCAAGGTCCTCGTGAGAATGTGTAGACGACTGAAAGAGGACCACTGAGTCATAACATTTCCACGTGCAACTATAGGTGCGTTTACTTTTAGCTCAGATCTCGCCCCTAGCGCGCTCAGCCTGTATACTTTTTGCTAGCTACCAATGAGCACGACATTTACTTTTCGCACCTGTGGAATCATTGCTAGCATTCCCAGAGTGCTCGGCGTGCTCGGAGAATTTACAACGAGCTTGGAGTTTGTTCAAAGATGGCGGCATCCATTACTGTGTATACTTTTATGAGTGTGCTAGTATGACATCAGGCTGCGTTAGGTATCAGCTCGGAGAGCTTGGAAGCTAGCGAAAAGTAAACGCACCCAATCCGTATGTTGTTGATGTCGACTGAGTATGCCATGTGTATGTTTGATTGGGTAAAACAAAAGGCACTACAACTAGCCTTGGGGGTCCGTTCGACCGAACTCTGTGTCGAGGGAATGGGTTTCCTCGTCATTCCTCTCTGAAAGTCCTGTCGCTCTCTAACCTCCTCGCTGTTACCGGCCAACCTACTACCTGACACCTCCCCAAACTTCTCTGTGACCTTAGCTACTTCCGCCGTCTTGCCCCATCCCTGGGAACCTGAGTCGGCTAATTCCTTCTTGACTACCTGACCCGCCAAGCTACGCGCCTCAAAAAGCCATCTATCTTGCTCTAATAGGCGTTTTGAGCGTTCAAGCCGTAACTTAAGGTCTTCGATTTTGTCCTGTGATTCGCCTTCTGGCACGCCCGCCTTTACCTTACGAGTGTAATCGCCACGAACTGCTCTACCGAGATCGCCCTCTGCTTCTCGAGTCTCCATTAATTTTTTCCGCTCCAAATCGATTTCTGCCAACCTAGCCTTGGCCTTAGATTCTACTTCCGCCAACCTGGCCTTGGATTCTGCGAGCCTCCTTTTGGCCTCAGACTCAATTTCGGCCTTCCGCCGTTCTGTTTCCATTTTCCTCTCCTCGGATTCCGCGAGTTTAACCCGTAGTCTAAGCGCTTCAATGTCCTCCCGAGATTCGTTTCCTGGCACTCCTGCCTTTTGTCCCTTGGTCGGCCCATCATTTTCCCACTCCCCTGTTTCTAAACCTCGCGCTTTCGTACGTTTAGGCATCCCTGTGCTAGCGAGTAAAATAAAAATTTACCTGGGTCAATGATTGCCGGTGTTGTTCGGTTCCTTTCGTCGCAGATCAGCCTTTCCGATCCTTGGGAATTCGAAGTACGTAATCCTGTCGTAATCCTGTCGAGTCTGCGCCAGTCAAATTAGAATACTTCTTCAGAGTCAGTTGTATTTTAAAACATTGAGTATATTGAAAATAAACGTATGTACAGTTGCAAGTAAAGTTCCATATATAAGAATTACAAACATTAGATATTAATAAAGTTCAAAGTAATCATCCACTGCTACAGGTTCGTCGGAAAAGCACCTTGCGACGCACAAATTCAAAGTCTACAACAACACAACAAGATGAGACGATTTTCTAAGACAGCTCCGGCAACTAAGGTCAACGTGAGTTCATCCTATGAGTCCAAAGCGAACTAAATGTCCCGCCAGAACTTCACTGCTTTTATAGGATTGAAGCTACATTGAACTCCACCAATCAGCATCTACCAGCTGTATAAGACGTCCGCCGATCGTCCGATGGTTCTTAACCAATCAGCGGTCGAGTTTTCAAAATGTCGTTATCGCCGTTTCCATGGCGATAACGGTCGTTCACGAAAAGGCGGGAAAACCGCGCGCTAGACGATTTTTATTCCCGACAATAATAATTCTCTTATTAAATAGTTTAGTATTATGTTTATACTTGAATAATACATTTTTATGTAAGGAATTGTCAGCATTATAAATTGTACGCTAAAACATGTAAATTACTATCAGTATATGTAGTTATTAACTGTAATTTAAGGAAAAATTGCAATATAAATGAATAACTCTAAATTGCAATGTTTCTTTTGTAGGTGTTGATAGTACCATGACTAACGAATGCAATATTTGTAATAAGTCGTTGGCTAGTAAACAGGGTTTAAGAATTCATATGAGAATCCATACAGGAGAGAAACCCTACAAATGTGAAACATGTGATAAATGTTTTGCTCAATTGAGCACTTTAAACAGTCATCTCAGAACCCACACAGGAGAAAAACAATACAAATGTGAAACATGTGACAAATGTTTTTCTGAATCGAAAAATTTGAATCGTCATCTCAGAATCCACACGGGAGAAAAACCATACAAGTGTAAAATATGTGATAAATGTTTTACTCGTAAGTACAATTTGAATCGTCATCTCAGACTCCACATGGGTGAAAATCCCTAGAAGTAAAAAACATGTAATAATCGTTTCGAGAACGCATCGTGTTAAACTCATCATCATAGATTCTATAATAAAAAAAATCACCCTACGAATGTAAAATATGTAATAAATCTTTTCCTGAAGAATGGATATTAGATTGTCATTTCAGAAGACATCTGAAGGAGACACTACAGAAGTAAGAAATACTCCACGAAAATTGCAAGACTGGAATGAAAGGAGTAACAATACAACGACTTATTCAAATGTAGTTTCCACCGATTATGTTAGCAGCAATCGTCGTTTCGAAGAACGAAATCGTTTAATTCAGCATCTTCCCACTCATTCTGAATACAGACCATTGATTTGTCTTGTGTGTAATAGTCAATTTTAAACTGAAGTTTACTTGGATGCTCATCGTATAGTGCACGATCTATACCCATTTAATTGTATTATTTGTTTTTAAGCTATCTGCAGCCATAAGGCTTTCCAAGAACACGAAACAATACTCAATTCATTAGTTGACTCGTTTTACCATTGTAATAGATGCTATGTAAAATTTGCTTGGGAAAAAAATTATGAAGTTCATCTTGAATGTAATATAAATTTTCTTAAAAAATTTTCGATTGAAGATATGCCAACAAAATTTTTTTTTGTCAATTTTAAATATTTTAAAGTGATTTTAAAATAAAGTTTATTGTGAAGATAATTTCTTACATTTTATTATTTAATACATTTAAATTAAATTTAGTGATAGGTTAAAGTAGTTTTTCATGAATGAGATAACATTTTTAGTTCGATATCTTAATAGTAACTCTTCTGTACATAAAATTTATTAATATATCTATAGTTTTCTGCTGGCTTTCATGTCGTTTCTCAGGATCTAATTATTAGAGAGGTTGAGGCACAAGTTCAAACGTTAAACGTGTACGGGTAGCATAAGTACACGTTACACGTTTCAAGTCCAAGTAAAAATCGTTGAGGCACACGTTCATAACATCACGTGACTCAGTGAACATCGCGCATTGACTCACGGGAAATAAGTTGAAAAAAATGGCGAAAGCGAAATAAATCAGAATTTTAATCCCAAACACAAAAAATGAAGACGTTTAAGCCGATCGTGTATTCACCAAGCTACACGTAGCAAACGCATTATCGACGGTCCAGAACTGCCAGATGGCGGCGCTCACCCGTTATTCGTACACGTTTTGGGCTAAATACGTGCGCCTCAACCTCTCTATTAGTGAGGTTGAGGCCGAAGTTTTAGACGGGAAAAAGTGTACGTCAGGCGTTCAGCACCGCTTTCGTGTAAGCCTAGAAGTTTGACAATGGTGTTTGGAATGTCAAGCATCATTCCGCTGACTATCCAAACACCATTGTCAAACTTCTAGGATTACAGAAAAGCGGTGCTGAACGCCCGACGTACACGTTTTCGCGTCAAAAACTTTAACCTCAAACAAGCAACTTACTGATTAGAAGAAAAGTAATAGAATTTATGCAATTTAATATTTAAAAAATACAAATTTATAGAACTATTTCAAACAACAAGTAAGTAAAATATAATTAAAATACAAATTGGTTTGGAGTTAAGAATGGTATCATTTACCCCTAGTCAGTGTCAAGTGCAATGAGTTATTTTCCCGCAGAGCTGAAACGGATTCAGAGCACAGATAATTTGATTTATTCGTTGCTTTTGTTTTTATTAATATTTTTAGGCATTTAAGATGCGTGCAGTTGTGCAACGACCGTTAATTATTCGTTCGCCTGTTAATTTGAATTTGTCAAAATTTTGGTACTGTTCTGCATACGTAACTCCTGAAATTATATGAAATTGTGTAATAAACTGGCTAAAATTTTGGAAGACAATGCAGGGATAACTGCAATAACAATTTGATTTTCAATCAAGAAATGGATAAAGTAACTCTTTAGAATCTTATATGTTTTATTTGGAATTTATATCGATCTACGCTTTAGAATATTACTGAGTCCACAGCAAGTAATAAAAGCAAAAGAACTCTTAGTTATAGCAAGACGACGTGAGAAACAAATGATTTTTCAATACAGCGCAAATGAGTGAAGGATACCTATTTTCAATACAGCCATTTTAGACAAAATTTCAATTATTGCAACAATAATATGATGTTTTATTACTATTTTAGCAACTAAATCGTGCTGTTTTATCGAAAACTTTTCAAAACGACTTCGGTATGTTATAACTGTTTTTCTTTTTTTTGAATTCTTATTATGTACCTTCAATGAAATATATTTCGGACTTATATTGAGAAGACCTACAATAATGCTTAAGGTCTCTGTAAAAGCAAGATGAAAGTTTGACAATTTTTGCTTCATTTGTACTTAAAATATGTTTTTATCTTATGAGATATATCTTATAATTTTATTAATGTATTTGATAGAATGCTAATGATTAAATAATTACAAATAAAGAAAAAACTTGTTATTATTTAAATGAAAACAATCCGCTACTGATTTCTACTGTATACTTTTGCAGGACTCACCAAATGCAGTAGCTGTAATACCGCCATTTGCTGATATTACAGCTACTGCAGGCCTGGAGATGGAGGCCTGGGAGATTCGTAAAGCTAATAGTGGGGAGGGGGGCACCTGCATCAACTTCAAAGATGGCGAAACGATCGCGCAGGCGTGGAGGTATTTGTTCGAGGAATTCGTACAGGGACAGTCTGAGGGGTGAAACCCGACACGCACAATTATTTACATCTCTGGCGACGGTCAGGAAGAAACACAGTCAGTCACCATCTGAAGCAGACCTCTGTGGAGTGTACTACGAACATAACACTTGTAAAAAAAAAAGGTTTCATGGATTGTTATTATTAGTGTTTCATGTTTTAAAATAGAAAGATTTATAGTGTATAGTTAAAGGCCGTGATGGAAGATATATTTTAGATGTTAGTTGTTTGGTTTTGAGGGGAAGATTTTGTTCATTTACTTAGAAGATTAATAACTCTTGTTGCTCTTTGTCGAAAATTTCTGAAATTCCACAGGAAAGTTTTGTATTATGGGGATTGATTCTATGAAATTTTGGTGGTCAAAGGTCAGGGAGCGCGGAGATGACAATAGTACTAAATAATGGCGGAGCAGTAATATATTTCGTTATGTCCTCAATTTTGTTGAGTTTTTCGAGAACAGTTTTTTGAGTTTCAATATCGCAACCACGAGAGCAATATTGGGATATTTTCTCATCAATATTATCTAATTTTTGCAAAACTGCTTTTTGAGCATCTAGAAAAGTCTGTGTGGATAACAATCGGCTTATTTCTTGAACAACTGTATCCAATTTCTCTAGCTTTCCAAATTTTTCAGTCAATTCACCTTTTGTGAGCCTTACAAATCTAAAGCCTTCGTAACATTCTCGTTGACAGAAGATGAGGAAAGTCTAACCTCATGTGTATTAGGCGATTCTAACTTTCTGAAGGTGGTCTCAGCCAAATTAATTACATTTACGAACTAGAAGTAATATTTGTCGTAATATAAGAAAGTATGTATATATATATATCCCATATCATTACAATCATCACCAATGGATTCCTTATAAGAAGTCAAATCCAAAAATATATAATTATCCCTATATATATTATAAGTAACACGAGAAAACTTCAACTTTCGGTTGAACTTCTATAGATTTATATAAGGAAAAGTCAATGATTTCCACGGCAATGATAAATATGAAATGTTGAATTAGAACTCAGAACATTAATGGCCATAGTTCAAATTCTATTTGTACGATTAACAAGAAATTTTACAGAAACATTACTTAAAGGGAGCTAAATGAAGTGACCAAAAATTGTAGGGATAGATGAAGCCGGAAGCTCAAAAACTGAATTCGATTCCCGATCGGAAATGACAAATAAATTGCTAATAACTTATTAAATATAGTACCCAGAAACACTAATTTTGGTGTGTAGGGGTGTAGTAAAATGGCGAACAAGGTAAAGCAACAAATTCCGGTTTACTGGTTATTCTAATTCCGGATAACCGAAAAAATACCGTTTTTGGCTAATAATTTAAGAATTGTTAAAGTTAAAATGTCCTACTTGTCCTGTTGACGTTCCCTCCACCTTCCAATTAATAAAAACAGAAAAAACAATACTTTTCAACTTAAATTAACGGTCAAAACACATCAAAATTGCAGAGCTCGTTTTATAGCAGCTTATCTTTATTGAATTTTTCTCTCTTTTTTTGTCTGTGGACGTGGGAACCATATCTTAACGTGTTCGATTTCATACAGGAAAGTGAATATTCCAAAGTCGATCACTGACAGATAACAATATATAAATGTTATCATTTGTATATTTTTAACATTTAAGCATTGCATCAAACGAGAGTCAATCGTTTCCTGGCCGCATGTAATGAATAAAGACTGGTTGAATATTTCAACAGAAGAAAAGTTCTTTGATTTATGGCAGTTGTTTGCCCATGACACACATATTCTCAATGTTGCAAGAACTCTTGACAGGAATTAACCACTACAAATAGGAATTGGAAAAAGATAACCCACCTCATCTCGTCCAATCAGTCTTGTAATTACATTGACAGACGATCCTCAGAAATCGATTAACAATAAAACACAATTCTGAGCTCCTAATATTCGATATTTCTACTGCTGCTACGACGACAACACGATAAATTATGATGTCAGTGAACTTATTGTCATTTCCAACAGAAATATGACGTATAGAGTTTTTAATTTTTTGGTTTATTTCCGTGGCTGTAAAAGGGAAAATATAAGATTAACGTTAAATAAATATTTTACAAATAAATAGTTTATTTTGCTCATTTATTACACGAGAATTGATTGTGTAAAAAAATTCTTATTGTAAATAAAGTATTATTTATTTTCTTACTTTAAGACGTATCTGAATGGTATGTTTTGTGATACAAAACGATGTTTTTGTCTGTCTTCAGTTACATTATTATAAGAACAATTTTATTTCTGAATGTGAAGTAAATATAAAATGTACAGTCGACTCCCTATAACACTGTTGAATATT